CTAGTTTTCTATGTGTTTCTTAAAAAAAACAAACAAGCAAGCTAAGAATAGCTTCTAAACCAGGCGTGGCACTGTGTACCTGTAATCCCAGATACTCAAGAGGCTAAGGCAGGGGGATCATGAGTTTGAGGCCAGCCAAGGCAATATAGGAAGACCCTGTCTCCCCACCCCCACCCCCCCAAAAAAGGTTTTAATTTTTTGGCATGTTATACAAATACATATCTTTTACTTAAAGGGTTATGAAATAGTTAAAAAAAAAAGATAAGCAGGAAAGAATTTTAAAATTATTTATTTATTTAATTCAATTTGTTGTTATTTTTATTTTGACCACAAAAAGACAGAGAGAGAGAAGGAAAGCGAGAAAGCAAGCTGCCAGGACTGGGGCTTGAACCACGGTTGGCCATGTGAGTCCAGCATCCTAACCACCATGCCATCTGCTGGCCCCAGCTAGTTTTTTTTACAGAGGTCTGGACAGGTGAGCTTGTTTTTCAGTCCCCACCACTTCACTAGATTTTCCCATCCAGTTGGCAGTTTCTTCCTGCTAAGCATGGCTAAGCATCCCTCCCTCTCTCCCTCCCTCCCTCTCTCCCTCCCTCCCTCTCTCCCTCCTTCTCTCTTTTCCTTCCTTCCTTCCTCTCTCCCTCCCTCCCTCCGTTCCTCCCTCCTCCCTTCCTCCTTCCCCTTCCCTTCCCTTCCCTTCTTCCTACTGCCCCTCTTCTTTCCAACCTTCCTTTCCTTTTCATGTTAAATGCTTAGGAATCAAGAATGGCAAAAATAACAAAATATACAGGAAATAGGAAATAGAAAATTGTTTGTTGACGATAACATGTATGATGATGTGCTTGATCGAGCAATATACAGTGTATTCTGGATGGGAAATCTCATTTTATTTGCTGTGATGATGTATAGTAAATGAATGTAAGTAAAGAAATTTAAATTAAAAAAAAAAATGCTTAGCCCTGAGGCCAGCAGACAGTGTAGGGGTTATGTTGCTTGACTCCCACATGTTCAAGTCCCAGACCAGATCAGGTGACTTCAAGATCACAGCCACATGCATGCGTGCATGCCTAAGATCCCGGGAGGAAAATGGAAAAGGGACTGCATATGACCGACCATCCCCCTCTCCCCAGGGGAGGGAGCGAGGGGGGTGGGGTTTCTCACTTTCTTTCTCAATGTGTCTGTCTGTCTCTCCCTCTCTCTGGAGAACACATATATACCTTAAGACCAGACCAAAACCTCAAAGGAAGGAAGGAAGGACGGGAGGGAGGGACTTAGGATGATACTGCCTAATCTAACAAAAATATGAATAGTACTGAAAACCAAGACATTGTCCCTGGCAAAAACGCCAAGGCACTGACCAGATGGTAGCAGTGGGAGGCCAGCACAGAGAACTTTCTAGAACAGGTCCACTTGTTTCTCTTGTCTTAGGGAGGAAAATGTAGTTGTCACCTGCAACACCTGGGAAGTCTAGGAATGTCCATAGCAGTCAGTCTAATCTGCCCCATCAAGAAGGCTCCAATCATGCTGGCCAAAGGGAAGCCTGCCAGACTGCCCAGAATTCTAGGGAGAAATAGGGAGCAAGGTATCTCAGCGTGCTGGTTCCCAACACCCCACTCAGTCTCAAACCACCTTTAGCACTGTTTACCACAGGTGTACTATTTAAACATTTTCTTTAGAGCAAGTTTTTGTCTAAATCAAATCACTGAAAAAGAAAATGATATATCCTCATAAAACAAAGTTGAAGCAGAAACATGAAGACAAAAGTATGAGAGGCTCCAAAAGAACATAGGAAAAATTAGCATAATTTCCATAAACTGAAACTCTTCCTGCTCTAGACAGAGCCTGGGGCCAGCCTGCTTCTTGCTCCTCTTGTGTGTGTGTGTGTGTGTGTGTGTGTGTGTTAGGGTCCATGCACTTAACACAGAGAAGGAAAGTAAGAAATTGCCCCCTCCCCCGGGGTAATAACCACACTTCAATCCTTTCTCCTCCATTTTCCTCTCAGGATTCTGGGCACACACATACACATGTCTGGCATGATTTTCAAGCCTCCTGGTCTAGGACTTGAACTATGGTCAGTGGGAAACCAGTGTCTTAACCACTATGCTACCAGCTGGCCTGCTTCTCTTCTTTTAAAAAGGGGATTTAAGAGTTATAGAGGTGATAGAGTTGTGTTGGCAGTAAGTGGAGACTATTTACCTAATCAAAAGATAAAGAAACTAAATAAAAAGGATGGAGAAAAAATATCTTACCACAAAATTACAAAAATATTTAGCTTTGTGACAGATCCCAAATAAATTTCAAGAAATAAAAAAAAGTTTCAGTCTTTAGAAGTGGTTTACGCTTCAGAAAACATTTATTATCCCCAAATAATTTTGACTGTATAATTTCTATTGCAAAAGCCTCAGACTTTCATTTATTAAGTCACATTTAACTAGTTATAGAAATGTATTCTGTAAATAGCAACCAAGTCTGGCCTACCCATCAGTGAGGCTGTACTTCATCTTTCTCCTAGACTAGTAGAGGGACTTCAGATTCTCGGTCATTTATATGACCTTGCTGGTAGATATCATCACATGACAGCTCCAAACTGTGCCTTAAAGAATATTACTTTTTCCAGATTCAAAAACTGATATCCTTAAAACTCTTATTCCTGATTACCTATCAATGTTAGTGTATTTAATAAAAAAGATGAGATCTTTTCTTTTTTTGGGGGGAGAGGTTTTTGCTATAGGGCGCGTGCACTTGCCAGACAGAGAGATAGAGAGACAGAGAGCGAGAAATCACCCCCCAGGAGAATGGCCACACTGTAATCCCTCCTCCTCCATTCTCCTCTTGGGTTCTTGGGCACGCACGCACACGTGCCCGGCGTGAGTTTTAAGCCACCAGGTCCAGGACGCGAACCACGGTCAACTACGTGGAAATCCAGCGACATAGCCATTACACTAACTGCTGGTCCCCAGATGAGATCTTTTCTAAGCCCACTTCACAACTAAGATCTTTTACTCTCATTAAATTATCTGACTCCTCAGACACTAGCTGACTGCTCACTCAGGTGGCTCCCATAGGAGAGCAACACTTAACTGATGAAATTCTTAAGAAAGAGGTCGTTCTCACAGTTCTTACATGCAGGCCTTGGATGTGGAGGGGCATAGCAATACACGTGTGATAAAACTGTATTCTTCAAGAAGTTGTCAACCAATTGGGACAAAGAGATTATACATGCAAATATTCATAACGCAAGTCAAAATACATATAGATGTAAAAGTCCTGAGATTTCGTCAATGGCAGGGATCATATAATTTATATACAGTTTTAATACAGCTCAACAATCAATTACAGTCATCCCACCTTATCTGAAGGTTCCTTTTCCATAGTTTCAGTTACCCAAAGTCAACTACGTTCTGAAAAGAGGTAATACAGTACAATACAATAAGATATTTCTTTTATTTTTGAAAGAGATTTTTGCTACAGGGCACAAGCACTCACTAGAGAGACAGAGAGAGAGAGAAAGTGAGAAATTACCCCCCAGGGAGGATGGCCATACTACAAATTCTTCTCCTCCATTCTCCTCTCAGGAGTTTGAGCACACATGCACACGCGCCTGGGCGTGAGTTTCAAGCTGCTGGGTCTGGGACTTCAACTGCAGTCAACTTACATGGGAGGCCAGCATCTTAAACACTACACCACCTACTGGCCCCAAGATATTCTGAGAAAGAGATAACATACACACAACTTTTATTACAGTATATAGCTATAGCTGTTCTATTTTATTATTGTTGTTGATCTCTTTCTGTACCTAATTTATAAGTTAAATGTTATCCCAGGAATATACATACAGAAAAACATAGTATATACAGAGTTTGGTATGATCTGTGTTTTGGGGCATCTCCTGTTTTTTTTTTTTTTTTTTTTTTTGAGAGGTTTTTGCCATAGGGTGCATGGCTTGCCAGATAGAGAGAGATAGAGAGACAGAAAGTGAGAAATCACCCCCCCCCCCAGGGGGGATGGCCACGCTGCAATCCCTTCTCCTCCCTTCTCCTCTTGGGATCCTGGGCATGTACACACATGCGCCCGGAGTGAGTTTTAAGCCACTGGATCTGGGACGCAAACTGCGATCGACAACATGGGAATCCAGCGACATAGCCATTATACTAACTGCTGGTCCCTCTCCTGGGGGTTTTGAAACGTATCTTCTGAGGATAATGAAGGACCATTTTATTGAGCACCTGTTGTGTATTAGGTATTGGACAGGGTCCGGGGGAGAAATGAACAAGACATTCTATCCTCAAGGAATCTCCAGTCTAAAGGAAGTACACACAAATGGCTAATTTCAATATAATATGCAGGGGAGTCATGGATACAGAGAAAATGAGTTAATGCCATTTTCTAAAACAGGAGTTTAGGCAAGGCTTCTAGGAAAAGAAGTATGAGCTGAAAATTCCAAGAGGGCAAAGCCTAACTGCTTTCATTACCAATAGCTAACAACAGTGTCTAACAAATGGAAGAAATGCAGTTAAGTGTTGACAAATGAAATGACTGAATGAATCAGGCAAAAAGACATGAAGGGCATTTCAGTTATAGGAAATAGTGTGAGGCAAAGTATGCGAACACAAAGGAGTGCAATTTAAGTGGGTAACTATGAGCAGGTAAGCAATATTAACTAACAGAAAGTGACAGGAAATGAGGAGAGGATATATGAATGCCCTGAACTTGGTTGAGGTTCTGAAACAGAAACAACGCTGGTAGTCAAAGAAGGGTTAATATAACGATGGAAACTTTTCTTTTAAAGAACTATTTACTTCATTTTATTTATTACTACTATTTTTTAAATTTGCTATAGAACACACATAAGAGAGCGAGCGAGCGAGCGAGCGAGATGCCAGGCCTGATACTCAAACCACTGTCAACCATGTGGGAGTCCAGGGTCTCAACCACCAAGCTACCTACTTTATGTTTTTTTTTTAAAGAGATACAGGAGTGGGCCATCTGGCTTCTGAGCGGTTACTCTATATCCCCAAGTGACAAAAGAGAGAATTAAAAAATGGGTGATGCTGAGAAAGGCAAGAAGATTATTGTTCAGAAGTGTGCCCAGTGCCATACCGTGGCAAAGGGAGGCGAGCACAAGACTGGCCCAAATCTCCATGGTCTATTTGGGCGGAAGGCAGGTCAGGACCCTGGACTCTCTTACACAGAATCCAACAAGAACAAAGGCATCTCTCAGGGAGAGGATACACTGATGGCGTATCTGGAGAATCCCAAGATGTACAGCCCTGGAACAAAAATGATCTTTGCTGGCATTAAAAAGAAGTCCGAAAGAGCCAAGTTAATAGCTTATCTTAAAGAAGCTACTAATGAGTAACAGGTGGCCACTGCCTTATTTATGACAAAACAGAAATGCCTCACCTTTTTTATGTGTACCGAATTTTAATTGATCTCCTACACCAGAACTCAGACCATGAATAGCTGACAGGATATTTTTTTGCGAAATCCTGATTTAAGTAAGACTGGCTTGTGGTTAAATTAGTACTTTTTAAAAAAATGTCAATAGTAATTTCAGTTCAGTTAAATGCTATCACTATTTGTCCTTTCTAAAGATATAACTGGTAATTCATTAGTGACGCTCATCTTTCTACAAAGATGGTGAATGCCATCGCAAAGCCTACTGGAGAATGGTTTTATTTAGGCTTATCTGTAACTGGTCATATGAATATAGAAATACTGGCGAAATCTCTTCTCAAAACTAAGCAGACTCACCTGTTTTAATTTGTGTTCATTAAACTATTAAGGCAAAGACTGAAGATAAGGTAGTGATGTCTTCTTTATAAATTTGGTCATAACTCTACAAATTTAATTAGAATTCCCTGTATCCAAAACACTCCCTTGTACTTATTGAAAGACACTTTAGTGTGGTTTATGTATACTATTGAATAAAGAATATGCAACACTTTACCTATGTATAAATGATTTGTAAGGTCGGACACTTTTAAAAGTCAGTGTGACAAGATTTAGTAGCATGTTAAATTATACCTTTGAATTCTATTATCTAAGTCAGACTAAGTTATATTTCAGGATTGTTAGGCAACTGTTCAAAATCACACAGAAACTGAACTACTGTGCATGTGCGATTGGTAATAGTGCTTTTGCCAATTTATTAGAAGGATTAAAGTAGAGGAGATACACCATTAGCATAGATTTGTAAATTATGCCACTATAAGACTTAAGATAATTAAAAACCAAACGACAGATCAATAAAAAATAATAAAGAGATACAAAGTGGGGGCCGGCAGGTGGCATGGTGGTTAAAGGTGCTGGATTCCCACATGGCCAACCGCGGTTCGAGTCCCAGACCTCGTGGCTTGCTTTGTCACTTTCTCTCCCTCTCTCCCTCTGTCCCTCTCTGGTAACACTTAAATAAACAAATGGATAAATAAATAAAGTTAAATAAAATAATTCTTAAAAAAAAGAGCCATACAAATTGGGACCAGCAGATGCCATAATGGTTATGTTGCTGGATTACCACATGGCCAACAGTGGTTTGAGTCCTGAACTCGGCAGCTTAAAACTCACACCAGATGCATGTGTGCGCATGCTCAAAATCCTTAGAGGAGAATGAAGAAGGGATGGTAGCGTGGCAATCTCCCCTGGGGGATGTTTTCTCACTTTCTGTCTCTTTGTCTCCTCTGTCCTCCTGGCAAGCACCCATGCCCTATAGCAGAAATCTCTCTAGAGAAAGGAAAAAAGAGAGAGAGAGAGAGAGACAAAGTACTGTGGGAAGGCAGAAGAGAGAAATTCTTATTTAGGGTTGCTAGGGGAGTACAAGATGAGTATTTCCTAAGTATTTGCTAAATCAATGATATTGTGATCTTACTGTCCATCATTTGTGAGTTCCTATATTCAAAACTCCAACATATATAGTAACCATATAGAGCGATGGCTGTTGACTAAAGTAGAAGGAAAAAAAATTCTATTTTTTGATTTTTATATCCAAATAATACACCTATAGAACAAGGAACTTAAAATTTTCTTAGCTAGTTTACATTTATATTTGATAACTGAGTCTCAAAAATAGCATATTCCTGGAATATGCAGGAAATATTTTAAAAAATAAAGGAAATAAATAGCTCATTGACCACGAATTCATAATTAATCCATCACTGTGTGTGATAAAACAAATGAGTAATTCTGAGAAAGTAGTTCGTAGGCAATTCATTCATGTCCTGTCGTCCCTCCCCCCCATTTTTGCTACAGGTTGTGTGCATTTGAACAAGAGACACAGAAAGACAAACAGCGAGAAATCAGCCCCTGGGCCACTCCATAATCCCTTCTACTCCATTCTCCTCTTGGGATTGTGGACACACATACATATGTGCCTGGGCTGAGTTTTAAGCCACTGGGTCTAGACTCCAACCACAACCAACTACACGGGATTCCACATAAACATTACGCTTTCTGCTGGTCCCTTCGTGTCTCCTTTTGTAAAAATGGAAAAAAAAAAAAAAAAAAAAAAAAGCAGGGCCAGCGGGTAGCACGGTGTTTAAGGTGCTGGATTCACAAATGGCCGACAACGGTTTGAGTCCTGGACCCTGCAGCTTGAAAGTCACAATGGTAGTGTGTGTGTGTGTATGTGTGTGTGTGTGTGTGAGAGAGAGAGAGAGAGAGGGAAGGAGAGAGTGTGTGTGTGTTTGTGTGCACGCATGCACACACCCTAAGTCCTGAGAAAAGAATGAAGAAGAACTGTGGCATGGACATGCCCCCAGGGGAATAATTTCTCAATTTTCCCTTTCTGTGCCTCTCTCTGGCGAGTGCCCATGCACTATACCAAAGACATAAAACGAAAAGAGGGAAAAAATGCCAGCTTTAAAAATCTAAAGAACTTCTTTCCCAGTGTACCTTAAGGAAGGAAGGGATAAAATATGTCATAAATATTACATATGTACATATGAACATAGGCAAATTTAAGTCTTGACTAGTGAAAGAAGCATCAAAAATTAGTTTCTAGAAAGCTAACAACTTTAAGGACACATAGGCTGCTTTTGCAAGAAAAGTAAAACTGGAAAGGAAGGACTAGCAGATGACATAACAGTTATGTTGCTGGACTCCCATGTAGTTGACTGCAGTTCGAGTCCTGGACCCAGGGCCTTAAACTCACACAGTGGGCAGTGGGAGGGGACTAGCAGGTGACATGGTGGTTAAGGCACTGGACATTCCCACATAGTTGACCATGGTTCGAGTCCTGGACCTTATGGCTTGCTTTTTCACTGTCCCTCTCTCTGTCTCTGTGTCTCTCTTTGGTCAAATTAAAATAAATGAAGGAATGAATAAACAAAATTAAATAAATAACTCTTAAATAAAACCAAACTCAATCAGGTTCTCTGGTGAACATACACACCCTATAGTAAAAACCTCACCAAAAAAAAAGTAAAGCTGGAAAGGAAAAGTATGCTGATTACAAAAATCTAAAAATATATGGCTTCTTGGATAAGTTTATTATTATTATTATTATTATTATTATTATTATTATTTTTAGAGGTTTTTGCTATGGGGGTGTGCGTTTGCCAGAAAGACAAAGGGAGACAGAGAGACAGAAAGCAAGAAGTCACCCCCCCAGGGGGGATCCCCATGCCACAATCCCTTCTCCTCCATTCTCCTCTCGGGATCTTGGGCACGCACACACATGCGCCCAGCATGAGTTTAAACCACTGGGTCTGCGACTCGAACTGCAGTCGACTACATGGGAGTCCAGCAACATAGCCATTACACTAACTGCTGGTCCCCAGAAGTTTTGACAATTGTGTTACAAATTAAGGTTAATGTTCTTATCAGAAGTTTGATCAAATTGGCCAGAACTTAAAAAAAAGTAGAACTTAAAAAAAAATTATTTCAAATGAAAAGCACGCATCACACATCAAAAGTACCCATTAAAGGGGAGAGAGAGGGGCTCCTCATCTGCAGTCTCTGGTTCAATTGTACCCACAGACTCTCAAGAAAGCAGCGGTTCTTTAACATGGGTTAACAGAAGTAAGAGTTAATTTGCTCAGATGAAATTCTTTCCTAATGAATCACTGCCCTTCAATTTGCTCTTTTATTTAACATTTACAAAGGTTGTTATTGACGTTTGCTGTATGTCACTGCCAGGGGACTAAGCTGTGTCTGTGCTTAGAAAGAACACAATGGAGTCAAGGAGTTATAATCAACACTGAAGCCTGCGTTGCTCATACTGCCAGATATATCCTGGCCCAACAACCTCACCCTAACCATCGCAGAGCCAATTAAATTGATCACTGTACTGAATACAAGATAAGTCTTCTGCATTACAAAAGTCAATAGAACAAAGATAATACACAAAAAGTACTCAATAAAATTATCAACCACAAAACTTTATTTAATATGCTTGCCTCTTCCTTACTTTACCATGGATAAATTAATCAGTTAAATGTAGTATCTTTACAAAATAAGAACTTTAACAAATATGCCAGCTTTCCTATGTTTGTGATCTGTAAAAGCACTTTTGAAATGGTATAACTGTTTTAATCATAGTATCCACTTTAAGAATAGGTAGGGATTCTAAATGAAATAAAATGATCTTCATGTGAATTAAGGGAAATATTATAAATTTTAATCTATCAATAACAGAAAATGTTTGAGCATTACAAATGTGCCAACTACTATGTTAACCTGTCTGTACTGAGTATATCCTATAGTTCTCAAACCAATCTTATTATATAAGCATAACTGCCATCCTTATTTATACATAAAGAAACAAGCTTGGGGCCAGCAGATGGTGTGGTGGTCAGGGGCTCTGGACTCTCACATGGCTGACCACGGTTCAAGTCTTGGATCTGGCAGCTTGCCTTCGCTCTCTCTCTCTCTCTCTGTGTTTTGCTCTGGTCAAATTGAAAGTAACAATACTGATAAGTAAAATAAGGGAAATATTCTTAAAAACAAACAAACAAACAAACAAGCTTATAAATGAAAGACAGAATTCTGAACCTAGGTCCTAATGGTAGGAGGTTAATTTCACATTTTATTTAATAACTGTCATTCTCATTTCATTTAGATTATTGCATTTTATTTTTGCCTACATAATTTAATAGCTGAGAAGCAGGTATTTAATTTATTAACAACTTTCACTGACTCCCTTTTCTGAGTGAGAGTTGACTAGAACATAAAGTTACAGAGGGGAGGGAAGATTCTACAGCTCTCATATATCACCTAAAAAAAAATTACTAGGGTGCTGGCCTAGCAGTTAAAGAAACAGATCCTACATGGCAGACTACAGTTTAAATCCTGGCCTCATAAGCCTGGAAAACATGTGTGTGTCCCCAGTGTCAAATGGATGGAGAAGTGGGGACAAGAGGGCCTGTGGCATGGTCATGCCTCACTAGGAGTGCTCTCACTCCCCTACTAGCAATTAAAAACAAACA